CTCTCAAGTTCAGAGGTGCATCAGTCACTTCCTAGTGTGATAGGAGAGCATAAACACGAGCCCCAGGTTAGTAACATAGCTGGTCTCATAACAGACCACGAGAGAAACCTTCAGCGATGGAGTTTACCAAGCTTCCATAGTCCTAGTACAGCATCAAATGCTGATGCTGCACCACCTTCAACAGATTCTGGGACAACCTCACAGCAAAGGACATTCAGTGATGGAAAAAATGCTACTTCTGCTTCTGCTCCACAAACATTTGAGATGCAGGACTTATGGGAAAACCTGGACAGTAAAGAAACAGCCATAGTAGAATTTTCTAACGAGGAGAGTGAAAGAAAACTTTGACAATTCTTCCTCTGGGTTTGACTGAACTTCTTGTCTTACCTTGAACGTGGTTCTCACACAAATTAGCTGAAAGTCCAGAAGGGCAGACTCGATACTCAGACAAGTCATGAACAAGATCCAAGAGAGGATTTGGGCACCTATATAGGAGGCATAGTGGTGCCATACTTTAAGCCACTTGGTCACTGGCTTGAAATCTGTGACCCTGTGGGAAATATATTTACAGGGAGAGCTGGGAGCCTAAGGGTGTATATGGCAGTGAGCTGTGTAGACATGACTAGAGGAAACACTAAGGTTATCAGAAGAGTGGGTATGGTTCTGTCCACTTTGGATATACACTGAACTCTGATGCCTTTGTCTGCCCCACCAGCTTGAGGTCCATGTCATCCCTGTAAGATCTAACAAGTTTTGGGTTCTACTCAAGTAGCTCAAAGGCAAGACATGGGCTTAATTCCTTTCTCATCCTGGAGAGATCCAGCCCACCATCTCTCACTGCCTGAAGGAACATTTGAAAAATCATGCCCCTCATTTGTGTAGGACAGTATTCTGCCCCACTCCTGATGAAGCTATGCCACTAAAGAGTAGAAAAAAAAATAAAAGTATTAAATGTTTCGTTTCATTTTTAAAAATGGAAGGTGCAAAACAGCTGACAAGCTGTGCATGGGATGACTGAGCTGCAGAGCACATATGTGACATACCCAGTGACACTTTATTGTAAAATGAGGCTCCCAGGTGGCCTCCCTAGCAATGACAGGGCTGCAGCACTCTCTCAAGAGGTGATGGAGTTGCAGGTACAACTAAGCTTAGTGCTCCACTCTTGTGGAGATCGTCAGCAGGAAGTGCACAGGCTATAGTCATCCCAGGCAGACACCAAAGGGGCCCATGACTCCTACCAAAACTGTTCTCCACTTCCTGAACCTCTCCTCCATTCTCATGCTTCCCAGATATACCACACACATTCTTGATTAACCCAAACCTGAGACAGCATTAGGTGGCTCCTGCTACTCCAGGGATGACCAAGCCACCTCCCTAAACCTGCTGATAGTGACCTGACCTTTCAGCTATCACTCCTGCAAGAAGTCTCAAAGTAGGCCAGGAAAGCAGCCACAGCGCCTTGGGTTTAGCTCTGAGCCATGTTTACAAAAGTGCAGTCTGGAGCATGTTGCCAGCATTCTCCAATCTGTGAGTATCCAAGTAGAAGACAGACAAGGGAGAGACAAGGTAGCTCAGGGACTGAAAGAACAGAGAAATGGGGGTACTGAAAGTTATGAGTCTGCAACAACCAGAAAAAGCATTATGGACTGCATGGACAATGAGTCCACCCAGCTCTCTTGCTCAGAATGTTGCATTTCAAAAAACAAACCAGCCTCTCTGCCATGGTCACTGGAAACACCAGTGGCTCCTGGGAGACTTTAGGACTCCCTGATCCTGGGAAGGGAATGAACTGACCTGCCTGTTCCTGCTCCTTTGGCCAACAACTTAAGTGAGGAGCCCTTCTAGCTGGTACCACATACAGCAGGACTGTATCTCATCTGGGTAGGCTTTGAACAAAAAATCAGCTGCCCTCCCCACTTGTACTTCTTCCAGCTTTATTTCAGTCTGGAAAATAGCTCCTGCTGCTGTATATTAGGCACAGTCTAAGCAGAGCCATGCTCTCAAATCCTCCAAAGACACTAGACAACAGCACATGTATCCCATCAGTTTAGGAAGCAGAGAACACATGGCCCAAGGAAGCACTGTTTAAACCCATATTATGGGAATTCCTGATATGCAGGGAAGCCAAGCACAGATTTGTCAGACACCTATGGAAGGACTTCTTCACGCCATGAGAAGAGGTGACACTGGTGTCTGACAGCAGCTTATTGAATTTTGATCACAGTTCAGAGTCAGGCTTTCTAGTGCAACCTCACCCTTGCCACTCCACAAGTCTTCAGGCAATTCAGGTTGTTATATTCAGGTTTGACCAACAAAATGAGAAACTCTGGAGTGAAATCATACAGAAATGAACAATGCCTTGGCCTAGGAGTCCAATTTTCTGAATGGCCTTATGCAACTTCTGGAAGCATTCCCTTTTTCCTCCTGATTCCCTCTTTCTTCTTGTAGCTGAAGCCACATTTTGCAATTCAATGTTTCTCAATCTAATTGCATCTGCAATTGTCAAGGAACTTAATTTACCAATGAGCTTAACTTACATAAAGGGCTAATTTTAAGTATAAACAATACATTTTAAGGACAGCCAGATAGCTCCAGTCACACAGCTAGGAGCAAAGTAAAAGTAACAGCTGCTCTCCTCTATAGCACTTTAACTAAAGTCAGGAGAGCAACACAAGTTTCTGGGGAGTTTGTCCATAGTCCTCCCAGCCATGCATGTATAGGAAGGGTTTTCAGCAGCTCTGAAGGAAGCCTGGCCCTTTATCTAGCTCTCTCCTCACAGTAGACAAGCTTGAGGGGTGTACTTTCCACTGTAAGAGAAATTAAGCCAGAAATTAAAGATGACTCAAGTGTCCACTACAAATCTGCACTGAGAGTACAGTTCCACCATACCTCCTCCCTCTAACCCTTCAGACAGCTTCCACCAGGGCTTAAGGTATTGGACCAAAGTGCTCTTTGTCCCTAACCCAGACATCAGCTTGTTTCATCCCAGCACATTTAAGCAGGAAAAGCTTTCCCAGCTTCTCATCATCCAGCTCTGCTCAACTTCTTCTCAGGTTGGCCGCTGCCTAGGAAGCACACTGCTGCTTTCCATCAGGACATTATACATCTAATCAGCAATGATTTTGCTACCTCTCCCACTCACTCTGCCAGCACTCCCTGGCCCTGCAACTGTGTTCATTACTTGATGGAGGCTAAGGGTGGCCACGCAGCAGCCATCAAGTAGGCAAGAGCTTCAGTTAAGCTGCACAGAGGTGTCTATTACACATGTAGATACATGCTAAATTAGGAATTACAGCTCTGAAGTCACACAGTGCCATCTGTAATACACAGCCAGCATTTCATACAGTGGGCCAGCTCCAGGTTAGCTACAGTATTCTGTTCATTGCTTCTGAAGAAGCTAGTGCTGGGATAAGTTACCAGAAAAATTTCCTCTCCTCATTTAGTCTTATCTCACTTTGGCAAACATCAGTGTGCTCTGATTTGTATTAAATTATCATTTGGGATTTTGTGCTCTCTTAGGCACTTCTCTCAGTAAAGTATTTGCCTTGGCATGGTAAATGGAGTATTTTAGCAAACCAAACAATCTACAATTCATGTTCAGAGGTATAAGCAATGTTGAATTATTGCATGAATAAAGGCACTTTGAGAAACACCATCATCCTGGTTGTACTGAACTCTCAAGAAGCACTTCTGGCAAGGGCTTGACCTATCATGCAAATCAACTTGATGTCTACCAGGAACAGCAAGGCACTTACAGAAGCTGGCCAAGTTGGACAAGGATAGAACAGGGCCAGGATAGACAAGTAGGTCAGAGCAGCAGTCTGCTCCCATCAGATGGTGTTAATCTTGCACAAGATCAGAGATATCAGAACAAAGAGAGGGCATGCTGCCTGACTTTCCACCTGTTTCTGATGTGTTCACACTCTGTGCTGGAATTCACAGAGGCAAGATATCAGTGCTGGGACTGACTGTTTGGGGGGACATGTCCCAACACCCTTAAAATCTTCTGCTGTAAATAACAGATCTCTAACTCTGATTGCAAACTCATATTTGAGAAACAGATACATATTTTATATATAATGAAAATGTACCAGAGTGTTAGGTATGCTGCATAGAAAACAAAAATACCTTGCTGCTGTTAAATGAGGGATGGGGCTTTATAGATGTTTGTTTGTCTTGGTTCATGACCAAACAGATGACATTTTCTAGACAAATCAGTTAGCTCATGGTCGATCCGTCCTTCAAGAGTGGCATGATCAAGGCAAGGCTGGCCTGAAATACACAGTAACTTCACACAGCTCAATCTTGTCTGCAGAAACAGACAGCTGGCAGCAGAGCCTCCTTTGCTGGAGGTTGAGAGCCTGGATGCCAAATGTGTAACACAATGTGGCTGCAAATAGAGAGTCATGAAAACAGGCACCAGAGAGAAGGATTATTTCATTCTGAAAGTCAAGATCAGTATTTCAGAGATACCTACAGGAAAACAATCCTGTTTTTGTAATACTTACTGAGTCTTACCACTGAAAACTTACAATCTAAAGGGCTGTGAAACAGCCAAGGCAGCAATGGACATTGCCTTTGGTCTGTGCCAGGCACATCCAGACAGACAGCAGCAGCAAGTGCCTGGGGGCCACCAGCCTCTGTCCCAGCAATGCCACCATGGGGCCAGTGTCCATCTCCCCATGGCTCTGCCCTGCTGGGGAAGTGCCCAGTACACATGGCTGGGACTGCAGACATTGTTTTTGCTTTAGGAAAATACAAGCAGCCCCAACACATGACATTTTTTTCCTCCAGGACAGAGAGCAACCTGAATTTTCAATTGTTGTTCCACCCTCAACTCCCCTTCCTCCCAGAACTGGAACCACTGTAAAGAAACATAAAATGTAACTGAAAAACCAGTGCTAAGATCAAAGCAGATTTTGTTTGGTTATGTTTTATTCATGTGTATGGGGGCAGTATCAGCTTTGGCAATCCAAACAAATACTCCAATGGGCAGAATTTAGGTGAATCTTTTGCCAAATTAGTGCAGCTACCTGTGGCTGTTTCATCCGAAACTTCTGCCACTGCTGACAAGAAGTGGCTGAGCAAGGGGCAGTAGATGTGTAATGCTGGTGCATGGGTCCCATAACTCATCTGAGGTGGAGGAACACTGTGGTCTGGGTTTTCTAGCATGAATAGATGCTGCTCCAGCTGCTCACTCTGCCAAGAGGGAGAGGAGACAGGCACTAAAAGCAGCCTCTGATCTAAGGCATGGACATCAAATGCCCAGACCCAAAAAAAGGAGAATTATCAAGGGATAATGAATCCCAGGGAAAAAGCAGGTTTGAGAGGTGGTGTAAGGAGCAGGAAATCATGCAAGGAACAATAGCTGAAGTTAGTGGCCACACAGGCATCTGTCAAATTCCCTTTTATATAAGCTAGTTGAAGCAAGCTAATTTAAAGAGAATTTCCACGGCACTCAGGAAACTAAGTTGAACAAAACCCAAACCATGGAAAATAATGATGGAAAGGAAAGCTGTAGAAATGAGGTGGAAACTAGTGCACAAGAGAAAAAAAAAAGGATAGTCAGACCAAGCAGGACTAGGATTAGTTTTCCCCACACATAGCTGCTATCTTTTCAGCCTGGCACAGTTCAGCATTTTCATTCTTCCTGATCTTTTGCAAATCTGAGTGCTGAGCCACTCTTCTGTTTTATCTGAGAGCTGTAGTGTGAGAGTTACTCAGGAAAAACTGTTTCTCCGTTGTAAACATATAGATATTTAATCACACTATATCATCTGGGACAAGGATCACAGCAAATTCCTTAAAACTTGGATGGGGACAACACAATGCCCATTTAGGTCCAGAGTTTCAGCAAACACTCTTCTTCACATTGTTGAAGATCATTACATTAACCTGAGCTAAGACAGAATAAATGCTATTACAGCTCAGTAGTAATCCTTCCTGTGAACAGCTTTTGCAAATCCCACTCTGTCATTCCCACGGTCAAAAATACAGTAAAATGCAGACATGAAGACATCTCCTAAAATCCAGAGCGAGCCAGTGCGAGTGGGGATGTCAAGAGACTGAAAGCCGCTCATGCAGAAGGTTTGGTCATCGATAGACTCCTGGAAGAGAAAGCAGATGTCCCTGCAGCAGCCTGCTCCATCCCCAGCTCAGGGGGTGAGGAGCAGGGAGCAGGGAAGCTGTGGATACACACCTTTATGATGTACTGCTCTGCTGTCAGCTTGTATTCGCGGTGTCCGATTGTGAAGCTTATGTGAGGCAAGCTCGACAGTCTTCTGCAGTCTACGAGAAACTGGACACAATGCACTGACTGAGATGGGATGGCTTTGTTTTTCTTTAAGTATTGTTCTTTGAATTCAAGGCTTTTGGAGTAGGTAATAGTGAATTTACTACAGAGAAACAGCATCAGGCTGACTTACAGCCTAACACTGCCCTCCAGCTTTCCTGTACTCAGTCAAACCAGCCCAGCAGCCCAGACCACTGCACCCTAGGGAGCCAGGGCTGATGAAAATCCTTTCAAGTCCAAAAAGAAATGAGGTGAAGGGGCTCCAATATCCTCCCTGTGCAACTCAAAGGCAAAACGAAGTGTGTGAGCCCCAGCGAGCCTACATCAGCAAGGGCTGCTGAGCAGAAGTTCTCCAATGCTCTGGCCTTGACAGGCAGAGGGAGTGCTCCAGCCACAGAGGGAGCACCGATGGGTGCAATTCACCCCAGGTCCTCCCATAATGCCATCACTCTAGGGAAAAAAAAGATAGTGAGGAATACATCACTTTATGCTTATACTTTGCCCTGGAGTGGGATTTAAAGAGTAGAAGGGCTAAACTCTGGCATAGTCATTAATGGTCATTAATGTCCATAAATAATTTATTCAGTTACATTAACAGAGAAGATAATTTTCTGGCCTTTCTAGTTATTTCATGAAACAACTGGTGAGTGAAATGGCACTGCAGAATGCTCCAAGTCCCAGAGGAATCTGTAATGTAAACTGTAGTGTTTTAAGTCATTGTTTTAGAGGCTTCCTAGAAGGAAGAATCTGCTTTTTGTTGTTTTTCAATCTATTTTATGAAAGAATAATCCTACATCTTCTGTACACTTACCAACTTACATTAAAACAAAACAAATTATGGGATACAGAGGAAAAGGGTAGAAAAAGCCAGTAAAATGCTTTTTTCTAGAATACTAGAAGGGAGACATAATTATTTTATATAACTATTACAGAATTAGTATATCCAGAACAAAACAATCATTGCTGAAAAGAGATAAAAGTTCTGGTAAAATCCGGGATGGATACACTCACTTTTACTGGGATAAATTTGAGCCAATATGTGCAGTCTGTCTGTGATTGCTGAAAATCAGTCATAGAAAGTCTTGTTTTCAGAATGCTTTTTTGTGAAATCTGGGATGCCCAATGAATGTTCTTAGGTCAGCACTGGTGTATATGAACCCACACAGCAATGACCCATTCCTTGTTTGTATTAGGCTAGTATAAGTACATTGGAGATGCATATTTTATCTGTGTTCATTAGCATGAACCAGCTTGTTATCAGAGCATTCTCTTTGGCATGTATCTAAAAATTTGAACAAAGTCAAGATTAAAGGTTTGATTGAGAAAGAATCAAGAGCCTCGGGAGTTACACAGAGGTCACTGCAAATCCTCCTCTTACAAATGAAAGTGGATTAAGGATCCACTTTTGTCTTTGCTCTTTGTCCAGTGCACTGGGCACTTGCAATACTCCTAATTTTATTCCAAGAGTAGTTTTGGGTCAGGATCAAGATAAATTGAGATTAGTCAGTTGGTTAGAACATGGTGGTGCTAGTAACACCAAGGTTGTGAGTTTGATCCCTGTACATGCCATTTGCCTGAGCTGGACTTGGCGATCCATGTGGGTCCCTTCCAATTCAGAATATTCTGTGAAATGCAAAATTAACAAAAGCCACAAACAGCAGCTTTCCTTGAGCACTGGAGCTGTGGCAATGTGCTGGTGACCTGTGGGAGTCAGCCAAGGGCCAGCTATAGGCACGATAGAAATAAACTGCTCTTTCCCTGGGGGCAGGTACAGGAAGGACTGGTGAGGAGTGTCAGCAAGGGAGATGCAGGAGACAGCAGCAGGGGAGAAAGAAAAACTAGCAAAGAGTCAGAGGAGTAAGGTTCAGGAGGAAGAGCAAGAGCCAGGAAGCCTTGTCCTGTACCCTGTGACTCGTCTGTGAGGAGCCAGCATTGTGAGTGACGCTGATGTGCATCCCTCCCAGGAGCTCTGGCACAACACCAACTGCTCCACTGCAAGCCGACAGTGAGAGGTCCTGTCAGTGAAACCACTGTGGGGCTGTCATTAAAATACCATTCCCTTTCCATCTGATGCTGACACAGCTGGCCACCGGGACCAAATCCCTCCCAGCTTGAGAGAGCCAACAGCTAGAGCTAGAGACCTCCAAAATACTTTGAGCTTCCAAAAGAAAAGTATGTCTCATGCAGAGTACAGATCAATTCTTCAAACAGATGTCCCCATTATTTCCTTACACACCACAACAGAAGATGAAGTGAACGTTTGGGAAGAGGGCTGAGGCAAGGCATATAGGTCAAGAGCAGCTTGGCTCAGAGCTCAGGGCTGTCCTGGAAACAAGGCTTTTGCTGGCACCTGTCTAAGAAATAATTCCTGTTATTTTCCAACTCTGCATCATATACCAGTTTCTCTTCCTCTCTAGCTGTTCCCTGGCTGTACAGTTTTTACCTCTCCAATATTTGATGGACTTGCCCCAATATATTCCTGCAATCGCCTGATTTGTGAAGAGGGGCCGGTGATAAGGGAAGTGCCCGAGTCAACGATGGCCTCGCAGCCATGGGAGCAAAATGCCACCCGGCCCTGGATCTTTATACTGCAAATTTAAAAAAAAAAAAAAAAGAAAAAAAAGCATCTTTAAGCAAATGGCATATACACTGTGACTGAAACACCATATTACTGCTGGCTAAAGTACCAGACTACTGACTGAAGTTAATCCCAGACAACAAGGGACAGGACAAGAGGAAATGGCTTAAAGTTGCACCAGGGTGGATTTAGATTGGATATTAGGAACACTTTCCTCACAGAAAGCATTGTAAAACATTGGAACAGGCTGCCCAGGGAAGTGGTAGGGTGACCATCCTTGAAAGTCTTCAAAAGATGTGTGAATGTAGCACTTGGGGACATGGCTTAGTGATGTACTTGGTAGTGGTGCTGGGTTGACAGTTGTACTCAATGATCTTAAAGATCTTTTCCACCCCTAATGATTCTGTATTTCTATGATTAAAACTAGCTGCCAAGCTCTGCTAAAGACAAGAATGTCTGTGGACCCACTTTTCTCTCTCGAGACTCCTACAACTCTAATCATGTGCTTCCTGCTGATGAATTTGTCCTCACCCCCAGGTATGTGTTCTCATCAATCTAGGCAGTGTGCTAGAGGTGCGACAAGGGAACACTGGCTACTTTGACCAAAATTAGGACAGATGAAAGCAGGACCCAGAGCTGGATTCTATTCCTGGGTGCCTTAACCTCTTAACAGAACAGTCCACAAAGACTCATCTTGATCACCGGTGCACCATATATAAAACAAACTAACATGCTCTCCAAGAAACCAGCTGCCCATGTCACAGCAGATTTAGAGAACCAACAAACCCCGATCTCATCCTCGTGAACCCCTCGTTGCAGGGCACTGGGGTAAAACACTGCAGCTGAGTCCTCCTGCTCCTGTGTCACCAGGTGTTTCTGTCTCTGGGGGTTCACCTAGGGGGGTGAATTCCACCAGGTTTTTTAAACACATGTACATACACACATACATACTTGTTCATGTGTATTTGCCAGTAGCTTTTCTCAGTGACTGGGACCCAGTGGATTGAACCTTTGTAGCGAGAATGGTCTATTCCCCCCAGAATCAACTCACCGCCATTCTCAGTGTCATCTCCTCTGAAAGCAGAAAACAGTTTAACACAGAATGGGAGTGTGCCAGCATGCACCAATGAGATTACGCTTAAAAAGCAAAAGTCAAATTAAAGCCCTTTCTAAATTCAGATATGAGTGGCTAAAAGGGATTATTACTAAAGTATCACTGTATATGGTCTAACTCAGACCCTTCAAACAACCTCTGAGAAGACTTACTGTAGACACCAAGGTAGGCATCAGGAGCAGGCTGAGCCAGTTGCTATGCTCAGCTCCGAAGAAACACTAAATAGGTGGAGTTGCAGCTAGGTCCAGATTAGGGAACAGTACTTTTCTGAAATGTGGCTATTTGGGTGTAGCATAGCACTTCTGTTCATCTGCACAGGCCAGAGGGAAACCTCTGGCAACAGACATGGCTAGTCTGAGCTGGGAACTTTTATTTATGACCAGCTCCAACAAGAATAGATCTCTGTGAAAAAAATCATGGTCCTCCTCAGGACATTTTTTCTTTTCACGCCATAATCCTCAATGTCAAATTGAAAACAAACAAAAAAAAACCAACACAAAGAATCAAAAGATGGGGGAAATTTCTTTCTAGGGTTGAAGCTTTATACAGATGCACAGTTGTTTCTATCAACAATTGAAATAGATTTACTTATTTTTTCGCAGTGTAATTTTAAAGGCAGACCTTTTCAGATAGAAAGAGAAGATTGGCTCCTCTACCAGGCGTTGGTTCATGATGCTGTCAAACACAGGCAGAGCATTGCCCACTGCTAAGGAGGGGTAGCCTAAGCCCAGTACACCATCAAAGTGGGCAAGGACAAAAGTTGTTCCTGGCTCAAACACCGACTCACCGAAGTCCTGTCCCTTGATGGAGATGTTACTTATCTGTTTGGTAAAAAAAAAAAGGCAACAAACAACCAACCAAAGAACAGCCACAACTGAAAATAATGAGATCACTAATAACAATATTTCTGATCCATATCAGTGGATTTATTCAATTTATAAAGCCTGGCTATCTTTGTGTGACTTGCATCAACATAGCACATGCCCATTTGGCAGGTAGGCAGCACCAATTCCATAGAATGCCTTAATTATGTGGCTGCTTCTTCATAAGCCCAGGAGATGATCCAAGAAGACAATCAGAAATGAAAAATAAAATCTGAGGCATTTGTGTTGGTATCCCAAAGCTACCACACCTCTAAGGACTCAGCTTGGTGGGACTTCACCCTGCCCTTGCTTAAACCAGGCAAGGTTTTCCAGGGCAAGGCCAGTATCTGAACTGCCCTGAAAACAGCTGATGTGGAGGCTGACACCCATTTTAGGTGGACACTCACCTGCAGTGTGTCTTTGCCAGCAATGCCCAGAAGCTGTCCTGAGCCATACTGCAGGGAGAAGGCTTCCCCTCCGTGCTCATATGAATCTGACTTGAAGGACTTAAATTTCTGGTGCACCCCTACACAAAGAAAATGACATCTCTACACTGAGGGAGGTCCTGGCAACCCACTCACTCCCCAGTGCAGAATGAGATGAGATGTCGGAGAGCCAAATTTTTGTTTCTCTCAAGAGAGAAAGTGTTGAGGAAGTACTGTAGGCACCTCAGTTCCCCTGCAGACACCCCTGCTTGTCAGTACTTGAGAGGTAATTTTGCATTTTGGAGAAAAATTAAAACAAAAATGGGCATTTCCACCTCTGTTGGTAGGTCTCCCAGGTCTATTTTCATGCCTTTTACCTCATGGTGCAGAGGGACTCTGGGCAGCTGCAGCTGGTGCTTGCCCTGGCTGCAGAGTGACATGAGGGACAGAGAAGCAAAGTGGGGAGAGGAGAGCTCCAAAGGGATGCTCCAAATTCTCCCTTTGCAGATCCCATCTGCAGGCAAGCTTCTTGGGGAAGGAGAAGTGGGCAAGGCCTCTGGACCCAAGACAAGAGAAGCATCAGGGAGAAAAACATTTCTTACTGCAGGCCTCGCTGATGCAATAAGCGGACGGGACCCAGAAGTTGGAGGAGCCGGTGTCAAACACGACAGTGAACCTCTGGGGCGGTGTCCCGACGCTCACAACCCCGTAGTACTGCGCCTGCGGGAGGAACAACCCGCTCAACCCTGGGCAGACTCCAGCCAGATATTCCTGAGGAAGAGGCCTGACCGGGAGCATCACACAACGCTCCCTCAGGGGCTTCTGCATAAACATTTAAACATAAATGCACACCACAAGAAGAGAGTCTGGTTCCACGAGTGGCTTCAAGCAGCAGGTTTTATTCCAGCTGAATGAACAACGGTGTGGCATTTTTAAAGCCTTTTAAGCAAACATTAGATTGGTTTCTCTATGGAGTCAACAAACCCACTTGTACTGGCTTCAGAGGTGGCAAGGTCATCCTCAAGATGAAACTCTCACATGACCACACAGACTTTCAGGCTGTTCCTTACTGATGTCAATAAGAAATCAGTGTTGCAAAATCAGCACAACATGCCTCTGCCAGCTTCAGAGGGCTCCGACCAGTGGCACAAATACTCAGTGTGGCTTCCCTTTTTCCTTTGTAATTAGCAGCTATTAAAGCAAGTCAAAAAGTATTGTGTTGCACAAACTGTTCCTGATGTACTGGACAAAGTTCGTCCAGCAGATGAAGAAACCGCTGGCCATCCCTGGATACCAATTGAGACTGAGATAATCTGTGAACACGTGAATGCTGGAGCCAAGCGCTTATCCACATCCCGTACACAAGTGTCTAAGTGCTCCTATCTGGCTCTGGAAGAGCACTTCAGCATTAAGAGACCTATTTTTAGGAAAAGGCATTTCTGGAATTCAACCACAGATAGAAAAGCAATAGCTAGTGCCAAACTGTCTTCAGCAATACAAGTATTTGAATATGTACCTTCAAGTGCATACTTGTTAGTTAAAACACTGATGTTTCTGACCCCAGAATACACAATCTGAATGAGATAATCTTGAAAAGGCAAGCAAGCGTGCCATTTAAGAGAATATCCAACTATACAGTAGGATTCTATTTCTTCCTGCATTAAACAAAGGGATGTTCATTAAAAAAACCAAAAAATAAACACCAAAAAACATACAACCAGAAAACCCACATATACACTGCAATAAAACTGTTCCTGGTGCTACCTGAAGATGCTGGGGAAGTGGGTTTTGCTTTGTTGTTTTGAGATTTTCATATATCCCTCTTTGAAATAAGCTTTAAAGCAGGTTGAAATGTTTCAGTGTCCTTTGTTCTTCACATACTTATTTCTTTATGGCCCTCAAGTGTCAGTAAGTTCTTGCTGAATGAATTTGGATTTCCCTTCGATTCCATTCCCTGTTCAGATGAAGACTTCGCAACGTTTCTGCAGCTTAGTTTCCCTTGAGATAAGCATAGCAGAAAAACCAAATAAAACAGAAAACACAGACCATCCAAATGTACAAAATTCAAAAACTAGGAAAGACAGCTTACAAAATCATATATCTGCTGACTTGCCTGTCTGAGATCCAGTGAAATTAATATTTTTTTCCTTTTTCAGCTTAGATAGTAAACCCTCCCAGGTCAGTCTCCAATATTTAATACATATTAAACTTCAGATATAAAAGCAGAAAAATAAAAAACTCTACTTAAGTCTTTGTCATCACTGATTTATGACTCCACCTGAAGAAATAGATGAGATTTGGAGGATTGTTTTATAACACAGAAGCATCCAAGTGTCTGGTAAACAGAATATGACTAAATGAAATAATCATTTATGCTATGAAAAACCCTATAGCTCACCAAGACTGATATAGGCAAACCTTCCATATTTCTTTGGGGACCCAACTGAGTCCAATACAGGTCTATACAAAAATAAAACTTGTCACAGAACAACCACTGCTACTCTACACCAGCTTTCCACTCAGGTCCCATGCTATCCTAGATCTAGATATGTTTTATTTTACAGATTGCAACCTAGTTTTTATGATCTAATATTTATAGCTTAAAGCAACAAAACACCACAAGCCCTATAATTTCATTGACAGACTAGATGTGAAATGTGCTGGGAAAAAAAAAACTGCCTTCAGTAGAACGATGAGTCCTAATGATTGCATTACCAAAACTGTACTTACATTCATGTAATCATACAGCCTTTCTGAAGTAGTTCCTACTGATAAAGCAATATCTGCAGGGAAACAATGCAGATACCTCCGGGCAAAAACATCAGGGTGGTGATTCCTCCAAAATTCCTCTAATTCTCCCTTTTCCTTCAGCTGTTTCTTGATAGATTTGAATCGAATCAAGGGGATTCTATGCAAATAAAATAAACACAAAACAAAACCTGATTGTCCTTTCTAGAACTGTCATATACTCAGTTTGGTTTTTTTTTAAAGGTTTCTTTTTTGAGACCTCAAGTAGCAACAAGTACAGGTCACCCCATGAAGCCAGCTGAGATGTGTGCCAGCGAAGTCAGATGTGTTTCCTTACCGTTCCAGAGCCACGATGAATGGGATATAAACCACAGCCAACAGTATCACCCTCATGGCTCCAAGCAGTTCACAGTCTAATGACACTCCTTTGCTCAGAAGTCCCTTTTTTATGGCCTGTTGTCAGCTGAGGGCAGCTCGCCAGGTCAATCAATCGCAGGAGGTCAGTGCTTTGGCAGAAAACTGATTCATTTACTCTCAGACTAACCGCTGGTTTGTGCAAATAGTGGTGTCCAGTGCAGCTACTCAGGCACAGATAACCAGGGCACAGTCTAGACCAAACAGACATTTAACTAACAATCCTTAATGCTTTTTACATAGATATAATACATGGGGTGAGCTTGGCTCCTGTTAGCATGAGAAAGAGGAAGCAGTCCAAGGACTTGCTGCTTTTCAAGCGAGATGTTGCTCAGAAGTGTTCAATGCAGAGAAAGAGGACAAACCATTCCCCATTTGCATGGAGACATTTCAGCAAGGCTGAGCAGACATTTGGTGGGCTTGTGACAAGTCAACCCCTAAGAGCTGAAGTTTAATTCCCTATTTATGGGAGAGCTCCAGTTTAAACATAAATGTGACTGCCACCCCATAAAATGGATCTTCAAAGTAAAAAACACAACAGTACAATACTGCAACATACAGTAAAAACCAGAAATATTTTTTCACACATTTCAGCAAGACATTTGGAAGAGCTCTCTTGGATTTATTTTCCTTCAAGTTTCCTGAGGTTAGTGGCTCCCACCCCTGCCTGACACTTGGGTTCAAGTCAAGCCTGCAGAGAAACAGTGGTGTCAAAGAGAGGCTGATTTGGCAGAGCACAGCCCTCAACCCACCAGCTGCCCAGGAGGAAGCTGAGCCCTGAGTCTGCAATTTATTTACAAGGCTTTTTGAATCTTTCCTCTGCACAAGAAAGAGCAGTAAGCAACCATGTACTGCAGCCTAGCATATATTAAAGCCAGCTTTGAATAATCAGCCATTTTTGCTCAAAAGGCTATGGTAGGATGCTGGGAAAGAAGCAACCACATTTTGTTCTTTGCAACACACCATGTATTTAAAATAAACTTCTCACTATGCAAAGGTGAACTGGAACTAAGTAATTCTCACAAAAGAGAGCAGATGTACAACAGCACAGCAAGGAGCGAATGTCAAAGAACATGGAGGAGGCAGGAGTTGTCATCTTCTGCTCCAGCAGCAATGTCAAGAAAAAGCAGCAGAAAAACCCAAACACGCAGCATTTGTGAGCCAAGAAGGGGTTTAAATGCCTGTCACAGACTCTGATTAAGTACAAAGTAAACAAAAATTGCTCCTTTAAGTCACTTCCCTTGCTATGTCAGACTGATTGAGGAGGAGGGTATGAGAGCCTTAAAATTGCTAAGTTTAGAGCTCTATTTATTAGTTACCCTGGATTTTGAAATACATAGTTTTCTTTTTCCAATGTACCTCCAAAACTGTAACAGCTAAAAAACTCAGCAAAGGCTGAGCCTGGTGTCATCACACAGCTGCAGGCAGAGCTTTGGATCTGAAAATCCACCAGTATCTCTATTATAATATCTTGTTTCAAAAATAATAGAATCTCAAAAATGTATCTTTTATATTGATTTCTATTTTATTATAATCTTTTCCAATTATGTATCTCTGAGTAATATTCCCCATTTCTCCTGGACTCAGTGGTTTTACACAAGTTACAGCAAACGATCCCACTCTGTCCCAGAGTCACCTGGCCACTGAGTTGCAAGAGCTGGGTGCTGCAAATGGGAACGGTGAGCAAAGATGTAGCCATTTGTGAAATTCTAGAAAGCAAGGTCATTCCTCAAGGACCCCCCTCCTGTCACCTGATGGACAGCAGAGCAGATGTCATGCCCTTGGGTAGGGCAGCGTCACTTTGACAAGAGCAAGACAATGTCTGTGCTGAGTGCCTTTATCACTTGGACTTTTCCTCAAATGCTACAAATGTTTCTGGGAAGTCATTAATGTTCCTTTTGGAGGGCACCACAGTAACTTTGAAGACAAGAAATGGTTTTCAAAACACCACCTGGGTCTACGGTGAGGACTGCCTTTGCCTTAGTGCCTTCACTGAGTGGGTGATTCTCAGAAAGAACATGATTGTTCATTTTATTGCAAGTGTAGTCCTTTATTAATCCACACACAAAGGTTATTCTTTCCCAAATTCTCTGATCTCACGCTATGTTCCAAGCAGACATTAACTTCGCTAACAGAGGTACAAAATGCAGCAACAAAAGGTCATCGTGACCTTTTTTGATAAGCTGGAATAATGATTAAACTACAGTGGAGAGGATCCCTAAGAAATAGTTATCTGCAGCTTAAAAGTTCCATTAAGGAGAAATAATTAAAGTGGAAAAAAAAAATACCCATATCTGTATCTGCAGACATAAGGTACTTCACAAAGTTATTTATCTACATATGGACTGTTGAGAAAAATATGCCTAAACTATATCATTAATATATTAGCTATGCTCTTATGTTGTAATGATTAGTAGGTTATCTGAAAAAAATTGTCTAAAAGACAAGGCTTTGCTGTGGATGTATATTCATTATTAATTATACCAAATGCACTTGGTTTTCCACACCCATAGCCTACAGTGCCTTAAGGGGAGGGAACCCTTGCCTTCAGAAGGTGCTACGGCTGTTTAGAAATGAAAAACAAATACAACAACCTGCTGACACATTCCCCACAGTGGCCCTCTGACAGGGACCAGAGTATCAAAGCAGTGAAGAAGTGTCCAAAGGGATATGCTCATGCAGTGCAAAGTGGCTTCTTGCTTCTGGGACACCATGCTCAGCACATCCCACCATCAGAGAGGGAACTTTCAGGCCCTCTATTCCACAGCACCACCACAGATGACTGTGACACTTTGTTCTCCAGGCTTGATACTCCACCCAGCTTCTCCATCCAAAACTTACTCTGTGGCACGCAGGTCTCAGCACCCACTCAATTCTCTGTCCTGCTACAATACTGTTTCCCAGGTGCCCTCTTTATTGTACTCCTCTATACATTTCATAGCATCACTGCTGCATGACAGCCACTCATCTTGTGGGAAAAAGGGTCATAAACATCCTATAGCCTATACCTAATTGATAGCTAAGTGTTGCTTTACATCTGAAAGCAAGTGATAGAACAGACCTCTATATAACTAGATTTGAACAGAAATCCAAAGGCCACCTTAAGTGGTCCCTCTTCCTCAATTTTCTGTTTGCTCTGCCTTTTAGTTTTTAAGAGTGTGTAGTTCTCAGCAGTCACAGATTTTGGTAGCACAGCACCTAATACCCCGAAACCAACTGCAGATTGTTCAAAGAAAGTATTCTCCCTAAATTACAGAAAGCGTGGAGAATGACAGCAATGAGCTGTCATTCTCGACAAAGAACACAGGTGCTGAAAAGGCTATTTTACCTTAAAACACTCTGCCAGCTTTCACATCCAAAGTTCATGGTAGAGCCATGGCCAACACCCAGGCAGGGCAATCATAGAATGGGTTGGGTTGGAAGAAATTTTAAAGATCATGTAGTTCCAACCTGCCCACTGCCCTGGGTAGGGACATGTATGAGTACCCAGGAAAGCTTGAAATAGCAGCAGCTCAACATGTCAAACTATGCAGAGGTTCCTACACACAGGAATGCTCCTAGAAATTAGAACTGAATAGCAAAATGGGTCTTGATGAGAGAACAGTTTACATCGTCACATCTAAATAGCCATAACTTTTCAAAATGGGACTTACTTCATTCATAACAAGTGAGAATCTTGATGGAATTAAATCCACGGGAGTTTCATGACAGGTTTTAGACACGGGAACTGCAGTAGCACAGCTGGAAAGAGGATGGAGAACAACCTTGGCGATTTGTGATAGCACATTACGTTGGGATTCAGACAAGGAGTAAAACATAATGTAATGAAAAAGGCCCTGCTGACAAGAAGTAAAACATAATGAAAAAGGTCCTCCTATACAGTCAAGAGTGCCAGAGGCTATAATAAATACCATTAAATTAGGAACATAAACAGTAGAACCGCTCAAGATAGCAGTTTGCCAAGTATTTGTGTTAAAGCTTTAAGATAAATACAGGGTGGCAAGTTACACTCTGAAATCCAAGTATTTGGCACCTTTCAAAATACATCCCTGAAAGTGCCACTCATCTTGAAAGTCAGTCAAGTCTTGACAGGTATTTTAAACAACAATTTGATTATATCTGACATTTCTGCTGAAAGTTTAATGGAAGTTAAACATCTGAGGTTAAAATTTTGGTCTGCTGTGGTGTTTACTTTCTCAAGCCCATCCTTGCTGCCTGCACTGGCTACACAGACAGCACAGCTGCAGCAAGAGGTGTGGGACTGGGTATTGGTGTGACCCTAATTTTGTTTGGGGCAAAATCAGAGAACATTTACAGTGTGCAAGAAGAGGAAAGAAAGGAATGTTTTCGGGGGGGCAAGCGAGTGGGAGTGTGGGTGAGAGAGGGAGACCTGGGCCCTGAGTCACCCTGTCTATAATCCTCGTCACCAAACACTCATTCAGTTATCAGAAACATTTCAGAGCCCTTGAGATTAATGGCTGGTGCCATGTAAAGAGAGCCTCATATTGGGAAGAACAAGTTACCAACAGGCCAGTGGGCAGCAGGAGACTGAGGCAGGCTCCTATCCCTCGCAGTCCCAGCCATCCCAAAACAAAATCCTGAGATGGGCAACAGTCTGAAAGCCATACTTGCTTTTGTGCCCTCTAACAAGTGCCAGAAGTACCTCCTGGAAGACCTAGAAGAGATGCCCGTGGATAAAATGGTTGATCTGAGCGGCAGGCAGATGAGGCGGCTGCCTGTGCACATTTGCTCTTTTAGGGAACTGGTTAAGCTGTACCTGAGTGACAACAACTTGAACCATCTGCCCCCTGAGCTGGAACAGCTGCAAAACCTGCAGATCTTGGCACTGGACTTCAACAACTTCAAAGCACTGCCCCTAGTTGTGTGCACACTGAAGCAGCTGTGCATCCTCTACCTGGGCAACAACAAGCTCTGCAGCCTGCCCCTCGAGCTCCGACTCCTGCAGAATCTCAAGACCCTCTGGATCGAGTCCAACTGCCT